GCATGCACCATTAATGATTACATCCCAGCGGTGCAATCTGAATTAGTACTATCAAGCATACTAGAAGCATATCTAGTATGAAGCATATTAATGAAGAAATCAAAAGTTTCTACAATGCTCTTGATATATTATGATAGATTCAAGAAATACATTGCTCTCTTAAATCAATCAATAAAGACCAAACTATTATGCCTTCAAATGAAAGCAAGCACAAACAAAGTCAAATATTAATTGATATGCATTTCCATATAGAATACATAAATATCTGTTTATGGTGTTTTGATACATTTTAGCATGCATCAATTGCTCTGGTTAATAAGAGCTTGCCATAATATTATTGGTGAAATCGAATGGTAAAGATTGTCCCTTAAGAAGAATAATTAGCATACCAAGACACATATATAAGCACAATGAATCCAATATTCCAATGGTTGAAATCATAGCACAATCCTCATATTGTCACTCAAAATATTACAAGAAACACAACACATCAACCATCCCACAAAGCACAACACAAGTCTCTGATTCATTTCAACAACATATTATGCACAAGCGACTTGAGTGCTAGGCAAATAAGACTTCCACCTAAGGCCACGACACTAATTGGTTAGACTAACTGGTTTTCTTTATCTAAAACATTGTAAAACAGCCTTACTTTGGAACATCATTGTCCAAAATTTCATAATATAGAGTTCATTATCGGTACCCTAGTTAATGTGTTTGCCACTTTAATTTTTGTTTCCTGTTTCAGAATGTATATTATTTTTTTTCAAGTTTCCCAATCTTACTTTGTTCCAGCCATTAGTGCTCAAGTTTAATTTTCTAATGACAATGATAATGCTATTTCATCAGTTGCCTTTCTTCTATTTTTGAGGGCTTACTATTGCTATTTGGTTAGTTAATTAAGATTTTCTTGTCCTCTACTTGATAACTTATGGTCTTGTTATCTATTTTGGGGACATGTTTGCACTTACCTTTACAAAGGAAAGTTCTCAAAAAATCACTAAAAATAAAAAATGGTTAGTTTCTTTGAAATGGTTGATAGTTCTTACAAGCAACAATTTTTGAGCAGATTCATGGATACTTGGTACCATCAGAGTTGATATATGTACAACATGGAATCAAAATAAGTGAGATAAGCATCATTATTCAGGTATGATTGTTCCCAGGTGACGAGAAAAAAAGAAAAAAAAAACACTAAAAAAAGGAAGTCAACTGGATCCAATATTAAAAAAAAAATTTAAAATCCAAGACATCTCCAGTGCTTTCGCACTTGAATATCAAATATGAATTTTCTTCAGTTAAGGTCACTTAAAATTGGTTTTAGTTGTTTGGTCTAGCAATGCTTTCAATCTATACACAGAGGTATGTAGTCAAATGTTGGCTTTCTTGCTTTCTAAAAATATATTTTTTAAAAATCCAAGACATCTCCAGTGCTTTCGCACTTGAATATCAAATATGAATTTTCTTCAGTTAAGGTCACTTAAAATTGGTTTTAGTTGTTTGGTCTAGCAATGCTTTCAATCTATACATAGAGGTATGTAGTCAAATGTTGGCTTTCTTGCTTTCTACTTCTTCAACTTTAGCTAATTATTTTAAGATTGTACCACTAATTTGTAAATTTTCCTAATTTTTATTCTTGTGTCCAACTCCACTCTCATTGGCAAATATTACAATAATGAAAATCGGAATAGAATGATTTTTCAATTAGAATATTTATTTTAATGTTTTGATTGATAAAATAAGAGTATTGTTTGATTCATTATGATGAAAGTGAAATGTAATCATCTTTTTATTAAAAAATTAATTCTTAAGTTTAATTCACTACTAAAAACTATTACAAAAAATACATTATAAATGGATGTAAAACACCAAGAAATAATCATTTAATTGGTATCCAAAGTAAAGGAAATATTATAATCACTATCTCCAACAGCATAATTTGCACAACTCCTGTCAGTTGTCTCATAACAAGGACAAACACTAGTTGTGATTGTGATTTGATCCAAGCCTCCAAAGTCATCTCAAAATCTTGGTCTTAGTTTTACGCATGTAATGCCGTGTTTGGCAGAGAAAAAAAAGATGAGAAGGAATGGATAATATTCCTTTACTTATTTATTTTTTCATTCTTGTCAATTTCCTTATAATCTCCATTTTGAAACAAAATAGAGAAGAAATTTAGAGCGAACTTGCTAGTTATATTGTTGGTTACCCAATATTACTGTTTTCAATTGCTCTTGAAAGTAATTTATAGGTCCGAGGTTGAATTTCGTATGGTTTTGGGCAAAACAATGTACTTCAATCTAACAGATAAGTGATATTATAGTCGAAACCGACATCATCAAGATGAAATTATTAGGCACACCATATTTTTGCTTATGATATACACAAATCAAGCACAATATCAGCTCAGCTTTAGAGAGAGAGAGAGAGAGAGAGAGAGACAAACAGACAAACAAACAGAGACAATGAAGCTTACTGATCTGAATCGCTGAGATAAAATTCGATTTCGATTTCGATTTCGATTTCGAACTTTGAAGGTGAATTAGATATCCGCAAGAAAGGCAACGAGTCAGGGTTTCCTAAATTTCCCAAAATAAAATATTTAGGTGGCGACTCTGTATCTGGCAAAGCAGTCCATGTTTGGCACTTCTTTCAAAATCTGTTTTCTCAAAACGATTTGCCGGATTTGGACTCTTTGGTTCAGATTACGAACCATGACAATTTGAGAGTCCGAACTGTAGTGAGCCCAATATCGAACGGAACGGGGAGCTCATCCCTCCCGGGGCGTTCGGGGACGTCTACAGTGGCGTTTTAAAAAACGGTGTTAAAAATATGCCTCCAAAACAGATATTTCTTGTAGTGAATTTAGTAGTCCTAAGCTTTTGCAAAAAAGGAAAGAATCCACTTACACATGCACATGATCGTATCCCAGAAACTTTTCTTTGGCTTTGTCTCGATGAATTCCTAATGGTCGGACTATAGTTCAAAATTTACATGATTTGAGATTCTTCCATGATTTAATAACGGATTCCATTAGAATAGAGCGGAAAAAGAATTGGAAAATAAAAATAAACTTTGATAATTTGGCGTATGCATGTTATCTTTAACGACAATGCTAGGTAGCTCAAAATCTTGTGGTTCAAATAGCTCAAATCTGTCAAAACGACGTCGTTTTGACAGATTTTGAGTGTAAAATGACGTCGTTTTGACAGATTTGAGTCATTTGAACCACAAAAATTTGAGCTACCAAACATTTTCCTATCTCTAATTGTGATGTGAAATTGTTTTTCTTTTATGAAGACAAAAGTTTTATAAACCTAGTAAAAACATCGATAAGTACTGTTAGTAATTATGAAAAAAATATTAAAAAATATTTTATGAAGATTCTTTATTTTTGGATTACACATATAATAAAATACCACACACTAATTAAATAATGAAAAAAATTTATGAAACATTTCATGATTTTTTTTCATAATTCCTAAAATTACTCGGATAGAAGTGCTATGAACACATAATAATTAACAACATGTGGGACAAATCATTTTTCTCGCATATATATGTCTTATTCTATTAAAAAAAAAAATCATCTGTATAAACAACATTTCCATGAAAGCAAATGCAAACATTAATTAAACACCAAAACAAAAATATTTATATGCTGACAAAATATATATATATATATATATATAATTTATATGTATCCTAAAATTTATTTTGAAAATTCGGCAGATGGGGTAGATTTAAAATTGGTGAAATTTGTGCTATACTTATAGTGATTGTGGTTCATAAATATACTTTTTTAGATAATTTTTTAAATATTTTTTTCCAAACATGAAAGATTGTTATAAATAAAATCAACATGCCAAAAAAGGCCAACATATTTCAGTTAATAATAATGTTATAAACTTAGAAATCTATGTAAAATATAATTCAAGGTCTATATTTATTGTGAGTTTGGCTCACATTCCACTCACTTCAATTCTATACCACGCAATAACTTCTGGAGTAGAATTTATTATAAGTTTTCATAGTGCATACCAATTTTTGTGCAGTTCATATCATATAATGGAAAAATTATTTGGTGATCTTAAGAAAATTCATATGATATCTCAACTTGATATTTATTAATTAAAATATTAAAACTAAATAATTTTTGTTGAATTTTAAAAGACAATTTGATAAATATCAAGCGATGAATAACTTGAAACAACGCTTCAAAACAACTAATATTCACTCCACACGGTGTGGCTCATGTCAGCAACATAAATAAAAACAAAAGAAATCCACTTGAAGAACAAGAATAACATGATTAAACTATTAAATCAAGAATAAGATTGACAATTATACTTCAATAAATGCAACCCAAGATTGTCCTTGACAATCATACTTCAATAAATGCAACCCAAGATTGTCCTTTTTCATTGCACGACAAAATGGCACTTTATGAAAATCATGACACTTTCTTGAAGAAATAGAGACACCAAACAAGACCCAATCATAAAAAAGATACATAAACTTCAAATGTCCAAACACAAATATCATACAACTTCCAAAACCCTAACATAGAAAAAAATAAAAATAAAAAATGTTCTACTCACTTTTAATTTCATCCATGAAAGCGATCAAAACTCAATCTTTCAACATTTTCAGCTAGTCTCAATGATCAAAACTTTATGAAAGATAGACACAAACAAACAAGAACTAATCAAGCTTTACAGATACAAAATTCAACTTCTAATTCATCTGTAAAATCAATCAAGACTTGATCTTTTGAGCCAATCCAACAATCAACCGGTTCAAGATTAAAACTTTACGAATGATAAGGAGAGATGCAAAACAAAACCTAATGAAATTTAAAGAAATTAACTACTCCGAATGTGCATACACAAAAAATATAATACACAACTTGAAAACCCTAAAATAGGAAAAACAAAACGAAAAGAACAATGCACTCACTTCTAATTCATCCAAGACTCGATCTTTTCCATCCAGTTTCAACGATCAAACGGTCCATTGGGATCGAGCTGTTTGCACAAACCAAGATAAGTCAGATACAGAACCCGATCTTTTGCCCCAGTCCTATGGTTCTTGGTGTGTTTGCAGAAATACTTCAACTGTTCAAGAGTACAGCAACCCAGCATCTGACCCAGAAGCAAAAACAGCCAATTGATGGATTTCTTCTTCTCCGCGATGATGGGTTTCATGCTATGTTCTTGTTGGCAGAACTTGCAGGAGGGAAGATTGGGATTCATCCAGATAGCGGGAGCACGGTCGTGCATGGTGGCTTTGTGGTCGGCGATAAAGGTCCCGACTTCAAGAAACTTCTGGCGCAGATCGAACTCCAATTCGTAGCTTCTCTCGCAGCGCTTGCATTGGACATAGCCGACTATGGTGAAGATTTGGTTGGAAATGAGGTGGTCGAGGCTGTGGACGGTGGCTCGCCTGTTGGTGGCCCAGGGGAATGGGGCCGGGACGATGTCGCTCTTGCCCTCGCGGGGAGCCTGTGTGGGATTACGGCGAGCACGAAGGGGCCGGGAGGGGCCAGCAAGAGAAGGCGGCGGAATGAAGAGTGGGTGGGAAGGGGGGAGTTGGAGGGGGAGGTGGGGAGGAGGGTGGGAGAGGAGGGAATGGAGTGGTGGTGATTGTGGTGGTGGTGGTTGTGGGAGGCGAGGAGGGCGGTGGGGAGTGGGGGGATGGAAAGAGAGAGAAAGAGAGAGAGAGAAATCTGTGGACTCATCATCTTCTTGGTGGATGTCAGGGAATTTGGTAATGGGAATCTGGAAATCGTGACTGTTCTTTCTCTTGCGGTTCAGTTCTTGATTGTTGGCCATGTCGTCTTGGTTGTTCATTGGGAGAGAGAGAGAGAGAGAGAATGCAAGAAACAGAGCGAAAGATTGCAAGAAATGAAGAAGAAAGAAATGGGTTTCGAGAGAGAGAGAGAGAGCGAGAGAGAGAGAATAAATAGATATATACAATGGAGGAGATAGAGATGAAGAAACAGAAATTGAGTGAGATTGAAGTTGAATTTCGAATTCAAAAATGTCGGTTCAAATTCTATTAAGTTGGGGGATGGGATTGGGGTAAGACTACTAGGGTTTTGCATTCCCGCGTTTATGTACAAAGGGAGGCTGAGACTGACGAGAGTGAGTGGGTAATGGCTAGTGATGCTATAGGACACGGCTCCCGTTTGACATATCAGTTTGGTTCGAGGCTGTTAGGTTAAAATCACTATGCTTGGTCATTAATTTATAAAAATATTTTTCAAAAAAATTCTATTTTTTATTTTTCGTATTTTTTTATTTTTACTGAATTTTTTTAATATTTTGAGTAATTTTTTTAATTTTTAGATATACCTAATATAAATATACCTAAAAAGTACAAAAAATTTGAAAAAAACCTTTTAAAAATTCACTAAATATCAAAAATATAAAAAAAAATACGAGAATTTAGTACATTTTTTATATTTTTATGTATTTATTAATTTTTAAAAATATTTTTTCACAAATTTTTTACTTTTTAGATACATCTAATTAAGGTGTATCTAAAAAAGTAAAAAAAATGTTTAAAATTTTAAAAATATTCACTAAAAACAAAAAAATATAAAAACCAAAAAACTCAATTTTCAAAAAACTTAATTCAAAAAATTCAAACCAAACACACTGAATAGTTTTTTAAAAAAATAAAATAAGGTAAAAAATTAATAAAATAAAATATTATATTTAAATTATAATTATTTTATTTTTTTCCTGACAAAAGTTTAAAAAAAATAAAAAAAAACTTAACTCAAATAAAACGTTTTTATTCCAAATTAAAAAAACAAAAAAATTAAAAAAACTAAAAAACCTACCCGCTTTCCAAACGAAGCCACACTACCACAATGCCATTGCTGCTGCGTTTACGTGTGTACCTTGTATTATTACGTATCATGAAATCATATATATATATATATATATTAATAAAAGTTTTTTTTTTTTATGCTTAAGTAATATATTATAAGGATTTTTTTTTCTAAAAATATTACGTTAGCATATATTTTTTTAATTACATATAAAAAATTACACAAACTGAAACTTAATTTAAATTATACTAATTTTAGTTATTTTATATGAACTCTATTTTACAAATTTTTTTTTTCTATGAGATAATCTACAAACTAAATATTTATTTTGCGTTACACGTTTTTCTTAATTCTTTCAAGGTATTTTTTTTAATGCTAAATCGTCCTTTTTTTCTCCTTATTTTCTCATGCATTATTTTATACTCAATACCAATTCTATATTATTTTATATTATGGATTTATTGTTTAAATTTTATAATAATTCTATATATGGAGTGGGGGGATGGAAAGAGAGAGAGAAAGAGAGAGAGAAATCTGTGGACTCATCATCTTCTTGGTGGATGTCAGGGAATTTGGTAATGGGAATCTGGAAATCGTGACTGTTCTTTCTCTTGCGGTTCAGTTCTTGATTGTTGGCCATGTCGTCTTGGTTGTTCATTGGGAGAGAGAGAGAGAGAGAGAGAGAGGATGCAAGAAACAGAGCGAAAGATTGCAAGAAATGAAGAAGAAAGAAATGCGTTTCGAGAGAGAGAGAGAGAGAGAGATAGAGAATAAATAGATATATACAATGGACGAGATAGAGATGAAGAAACAGAAATTGAGTGAGATTGAAGTTGGATTTCGAATTAAAAATGTCGGTTCAAATTCTATTAAGTTGGGGGATGGGATTGGGGTAAGACTGTCATGTTTGATTCACAAGATTAATAGTGAAGTATTAATAATTCTATTAAATTAGTGTGGTATTGATTGTCCAATTGGATTAATATCTATTGGATTAATAATCCCACCACTACCCCATTACTAATAATCCTACAAATTTGTTGGATTAATTATCATTGGATTAATAATCCTAAACCAAAATGTTAAAACAAATATAGAATAATTGAGCTCATGGATTAATAATCTCAATCCCATGCTCTAATCCACCCAATCAAACTTGCCACTAGGGTTTTGCATTCCCGCGTTTATGTACAAAGGGAGGCTGAGACTGACGAGAGTGAGTGCGTAATGGGTAGTGATGCAATACGACACGGCTCTCGTTTGGCATATCAGTTCGAGTTCGAGGCTGTTAGGTTAAAATCACTATGCTTGGTTATCATTTTTTAAAAATACTTTTCAAAAAATTCTACTTCTTATTTTTCGTGTGTTTTTGTTTTTACTGAATTTTTTTAATATTTTGAGCAATTTTTTTAATTTTTAGATATACCTAACATAAATATACCTAAAAAAAATTCAAAAAAAATAACCAAGCATAGTGATTTTAACCTAACAGCCTCGAACTCGAACTGATATGCCAAACGGGAGCCGTGTCGTATTGCATCACTACCCATTACGCACTCACTCTCGTCAGTCTCAGCCTCCCTTTGTACATAAACGCGGGAATGCAAAACCCTAGTGGCATGTTTGATTGGGTGGATTAGAGCATGAGATTGAGATTATTAATCAGTGGGCCCAACTATCCTATATTTGTTTTAACATTTTAGTATTAATCCAATGATAATTAATCCAACAAATTTGTAGGATTATTAGTAATGGGGTAGTGGTGGGATTATTAATCCAATGGATATTAATCCAATTGAAAAATGAATACCACACTAATTTAATAAAATTATTAATATTTCACTATTAATCTTGTGAATCAAACATGATCTAGTAATCTTACCCCAATCCCATCCCCCAACTTAATAGAATTTGAACCGACATTTTTGAATTCGAAATCCAACTTCAATCTCACTCAATTTCTGTTTCTTCATCTCTATCTCCTCCATTGTATATATCTATTTATTCTCTCTCTCTCTCTCTCTCTTTCTCTCGAAACCCATTTCTTTCTTCTTCATTTCTTGCAATCTTTCGCTCTGTTTCTTGCATCCTCTCTCTCTCTCTCTCTCTCTCTCCCTCTCTCCCAATGAACAACCAAGACGACATGGCCAACAATCAAGAACTGAACCGCAAGAGAAAGAACAGTCACGATTTCCAGATTCCCATTACCAAATTCCCTGACATCCACCAAGAAGATGATGAGTCCACAGATTTCTCTCTCTTTCTCTCTCTCTTTCCATCCACCCACTCCATATATAGAATTATTATAAAATTTAAACAATAAATCCGTAATATAAAATAATATAGAATTGGTATTGAGTATAAAATAATGCATGGGAAAATAAGGAGAAAAAAAGGACGATTTAGCATTAAAAAAATACCTTGAAAGAATTAAGAAAAACGTGTAACGCAAAATAAATATTTGGTTTGTAGATTATCTCATAGAAAAAAAAAAAATTGTAAAATAGAGTTCATATAAAATAACTAAAATTAGTATAATTTAAATTAAGTTTCAGTTTGTGTAAAATTTTATATGTAATTAAAAAAATATATGCTAACGTAATATTTTTAGAAAAAAAAATCCTTATAATATATTACTTAAGCATAAAAAAAAATACTTTTATTAATATATATATATATATATAATTATTATACCATATATCTAAGAGAAAGAAAATCATTTATTAGATGTATTTCATTTATGATATATATAAAATAGGAAAAATTAGAGATGAATCCAATTTAAGGAGGGTATAAGACATTAGGTCCAATAGATATTTTTTGTTGGTGAGAGGTTCACCTTTTGTGAAATAGTTTGTTGAGAAGTTCTTTTGTTATTCTGGGAAAACATTTTGTTTTCAATTTTACCCCTTAATTTATCTGTTGACTTTTTTATCAGTTGACTTTTTGACTATCTGTTGAAATTTGTATCTATCTGTTCAATTTTTTTTTTTCTATTTGTTCAAATGTTTTTTCTATCTATTTAATTATTTTGACTATTTGTCCTCTATTTATTTATTTATTTATTTTTTCTGTTGGTTCAAATTGAAGGCCCATTTTCCTATCTGTTTGAAATTTCACAAACTTGTTTTATATCTGTTGGAATATAAAGACTTTTTATAATATTTCTTTCATGATACTTAGGCCTCGTTTGGCAAGAGGCTATTTTAGCCAATTAGCCAAAAAGTTACTAAATTAGCCAAAAAGCCAGTAATCCATATCAAAAAGTCAAAGATTCTCTTTTCTCTCTACTTTTTGCATATCTTTTCGTAATTAGCCAAAAAGTCATCCCAAACATACAAGTTGTTTTTACCTACCTTTTTAGCCAAATAGCCAAAAAGTTACTAAATTAGCCTGTTCCCAAACGATGCCTTAACATTATTGTTATTATTCACTTCATGAAGCCTATTTTATGCTAAATGGCATCTTTATGGTTTTAGCATTCATTTTTCATCAACCAAAATATAAGAAGATTCCTTTAAACAAAAACAAATAAATAAATAAATAAAAAGATAAATTATGTTTAAAAAATACGATAAATTTCATAATTTTGATATAACTATATTAGACTTTCTTATAATTTTAATTTACATAAAACTTAGTTATTTTTTTATCAATAATTCAATAATTCGTTTGTTATTCAATAATTCTTTTTGCTTCTGGTTTTCTGTTCTTTTTCTTTCTTGTTGGTTTCTCACCAACTGGAACTTCGAGCTTGAGCTAGCTCCGAGCTCCTCTTTATTGATGTACTCTATCATACTTTGTATGTTTCCATCAATAAAGATTTTTTGCCGATCAAAAAAAAATATATATATATATATATGAATAAAAATATAATGTTGTATATTTTATTTTTGTTTATCTTTGTGTTTTCACACATTTTGCATTAATTATAGTTTCTATGATTTTATTACAAAAAGTTGAGGCCAAATTATAAAATTTGCTGTATTTTTT